GGGCCGCCGCGGGCGACAGTAGTTGTCCGCGGCCCTTTAGGGCCGCGGGGAAGTGGTGGAGCCCGCGGCGGCCCGCAGGCTCCTGCGATAAGCTTTGAATGCGAATCCGGAAGCCCCCGATGACCCAGATACCTTTCTGGCCAGGGGGCCAGTTTCTCATGCAGGGGGCTTGAAGAAGAAGGAGTGGGACTATAATCAAAAATAAATAGCGTCAAAGCGCGGCCCGCAGGGCCGCGCTTTCGCCGCGCGGCTGGTTAGGCTTTCGCGCTGGTTAGAATTTCGCGCACGCATTTGGTTACCAATATCGCCCTCCGGGCGCGACCTTCATACCGTGCGCGCGCGCAGCGCGCGCGCGCGATTTTTTCTTATAACGATGACGGTGGCGGAAAGGGGGGGGGAGGGGGTGCCACCCACCTGGAGGGGCGTCTACCCCCCCTTTCCGCCGGCGGAAAGGGGTCGGGTTGTTGCACAACATTTATAAGAAGATGGCTTTCTGATCATGTGGCTGTCCTTGCTAACCTGCAGGCACTAACTTTTGTCAACATGCGTGCTTTCCAAATCTTCATCTTGTGAACTTGTACTGCAGACGAGTTCCCAAATTGTAATTGACTCTGGTGGTCTGGAGGCGACGTTTTTACATTGGATACGCTTGTCGAGAGTGCTGCCGCGCGCTGCTCCTACGCGAGGAGGTAAGGCAGCAGCTCCTCACGTGTTTACCGTGGTGGCCCACGGAAACGGTAACACGCCCTTCCCCAATAACTCAACGCTTCGGGAGGCGACCAGGCTTTGGCGAGCCGCAGGCTTTGAAGAAAACGCAGCCGGTCGGGCGGAAATTGAGAGGCTTTATGGGCCGGTGACGCATTGGAACGTCTGCTTGATTAAGGTATTGCCCGAGTTCGAGCTCACGGACGACGGGTTTCACGAGTCCTTCCAGATTTCGAACTGGTACACGCGCGGCGTAGAAGTCATATCAAAAGGAAAAATCCACCGATCCCGTGTCAAAAGGAAGTTTCTGATGCTGGATTTGAGTATACAAATCAGATTTGTCTTGCAGTAGAGGACTGCAGGCATATAATGCCAAGCCTGAGCCGCGATGTTTTGGCGTAGGGTCCTAGCATGACAAACGTCGATGGTGTAGGCCCAATAGCATCACAAACCGCCTGCATAATGCGGCGGATTCTCTGGATTTGCCTGCATGCAAGACAGACAGGATTTGTGGTCACAAATACGCGCCACAGATTTTCAGAAGGATGCGCTTTCAATCTGAGGAGGGGGTTTTTTCCTCGCAATAGGTCATGCGCTTTCTTTTTGGTCGCTGGCGCTCTTTCAACCAAGACATTAGCGAATGGGACGTCCGGGATGTTACGGACATGAGATTCATGTTCAGCCTGGCCAATGCGTTCAACCAACCCCTGAGCAAGTGGGACGTTAGCGCCGTAACACGTATGGGCTTTATGTTCTGCGATGCCGCTGCGTTCAACGGAGACGTTAGCAGCTGGAACGTTAGCGCCGTAAAAGATATGAGCTGTATGTTCCGCGGGGCCGCTGCGTTCAACCAACCCCTGAGCAGTTGGGACGTTAGCGCCGTAACAAGTATGAGCTCCATGTTCAACAGGGCGGCTGCGTTCAACCAAGACCTTAGCGAGTGGGACGTTAGTGCCGTAACGAATATGGCCCACATGTTCTCTATGGCGGTTGCGTTCAACCAACCCCTTAGCAAGTGGGGCGAGAAAGTTAGCGCCGTAAGAATTATGCAAGGCATGTTCGATGGTGCGGAACAGTTCAACCAAGACCTTAGCCGCTGGAACGTTAGTCCCGTCACAAATATGACCGCGATGCTCAAAGGGGCCACTGCGTTCAGCAAAGACCTTGACGCGTGGAATTTGACACCGTTTCAGCGGAAGCACCTCTTCCGGCTGCACGCACCTCTTCAGGAGCCGGAATTTACTCCGGCCGCCGGAAGAGGTGTCCCCGATCATGGTCGCCAGAATCCGGCAATGCCGGAGCGGCCTCGACATCATGCATGCCTTAGATCGTGCTGTGTTATGTGAGTAAAACTAAACACACGGTGAACTTTATGCAAAGGATGCGACTCCCGCATCCCTAGTACAACCAGGACGCATGGTCGTATGCTGGGTCTGCGAGATATGGAATGCAAATATGTCTGGGTCTGGAACAAAGCAACTTGTCATGCTAAATCTGAATCAGGTAAAAATCTGTGTTGCATCATTACCAAAAGCTCTCCACTTTTGCCTCTCCTAATCGAGAGGCAGTTTCTCATGCAGGATAGGCATGATAGAACTGTCACAGAGTCTGCCATGCTGTGTCGTACATACCAGACCTCATGGGTCATGGAAAACCTGCATGACAAATCTGGCACTCTTCCAGACCCAGACTACATTTTTGCAGTTGATACGAGATCGAGTTGTGCGAATTCTACTGCTATCAAATGTAAAAATGTCTGGGTCTGGAAGAATGCAACTTGTCATGCTAAATCTGAAGCATGCAAAAATCTGTGTTGCATGATTACCAAAAGTCGTCCAGTTTTGACCATGTCGGGAGGCGGTTTCTCATGCAGGATAGGCATGAGAAAGATCGCGCGGAATATGTCATGCTAGATGCTGCATTCCAGACCTCATGGGTCATGAAAAAGCTGCATGACAAGTCGCGCACTCTTCCAGACCCAGACATTTTTACATTTGATAACTGCAACACCGCGACACCCGACCCGGAAAACTTCTACCTGATAACGCCGCTTCGTATGTGCCTCATTTGCGGTTTCACTGGGTGTCTTCCCCACGCGTTGTTTCATTTCGAAACCAACCCGGGCCACTGCTACGCGCTGGACCATGCGACGCAAAAGGTCTTATCCTGTGCAAGAGTATCGTACTCGTATTGCAATCATACATTAAAAATCCTTTTGTTAACGTAAATCCGCATTGCAAATTTTCTTTTCTCATGCTGAGCAAATTTTTTGTCATGCGATTTATACGAGTGCGATACTTTTGCAGTTTATAAGTCTTTGACTACAGCAACAACGAGTTCGCGCATGATTTTCTTCTGGACCATGACGCCGGCGTATGACAGTGCACAACTCCCCCTCCCCCTCATTCGTCATGATGCAAAATCGCAAATCCAGGGTGCGCATCTTGGCACTGTTTGCATGACAAGTTCTGGTTGCACTGTTTGCATGTTGTTTAAACAGGGAGGAGGTAGAAGAGCTGGGATGATTTTTCCCTTTGATAAGGAGGTAGAAGAGCTGAAAATGAATGTGCGCATGAAAGCAAAATTCAAGAAGGAGCAACTAGAAAACTCTGGGGTGCTGGGAACCATGTAAAAGTCATGATTTAGATTGTCAGGCGCAGGTGGATGTCTATTGTGATCTTGGCTTTGAATATTTCCCCATTTTTGCTTGTTGTTCCGATCTTTCATTTTCCGACAAAGGCGCAGAACCTGCTCGCGTCGCGCCCTAGATACGAATCCGTCGAAGTGATCAGGAGTTGCTTCCTGTTTCACACGAAATACTAATCCTCATGAAGAATACGTAAGACAAGGGAGCCAAAAAAATTGTCATGCATAGCTGCGTATTGCAGTACGTCTCCCATTCACTTTTAGCATTACAAGTTTCCAGACCCAGACATTTTTGCAATCCATATCTGCAATTCCACGCGACTTTTGCGGATGCGGCCGCGCAAAAACGTCGTAGCAGTCGCGCACG